ATGGTCACGCCACAATCCCTTCTCCTCTATTCTCCTCTTGGGATCTTGGGTATGCACGCACACGCACTCGGTGTGAGTTTAAGCCATTGGGTCTGGGGCTTGAACCACAGTTGAGTACATGGGAGTCCAGTGACAGCCATTACACCAACTCCTGGTCCCAATGAGGAGTAATTATTTTCCCTTAGGGGAGAGATATTTTCTTGGTTGCTCATATTTCTTGTGCCTCTGTGGTAGTTTCTGGTCATCTGATGGATTATACATTTTTTCCTAATTTTTTAAGTTAAATCTGAGCATTCAAAGTAATGCAGGAGGGGGTGATCTGCAGTCTCCAAACAGTACCGTTTTTCTCCCTTTACACACCTGATTCAATGGAAATTGAGGATTAATCTGACCCTAAAAGTTCTCAGATATTTGCCTACTGAGCACCTAGACCTGACTAGAAAAGTAGTGTGTGGAGGCTGAGCAGAAAAGTGAGAAAGGTAAAAATAAAAGGAAAAGGAAAAACCAAAAAAGAGGAAAAACAAGAAAGAAACAATAATAAAAAAAAAAAAAGAAAAAAATTTGTGAGCAAAAAATGAAAACCACGTGGTGCACTAGGTGCACCGCACAAATGGGGCCGCTCCGAACTCAGATGCAGATGGCTGCTGATCGGCTTGTCCCATGGGGGCAGGAGTAAAGGTAAGAATTAGCAAGGCAAAAGAGCAGCAAAGAGCTAAGAAGTTTAAACATTTTTAAAAAATATTAAACCTAGAGAGAGATAGAGACAGAATAAATAGGATGTTCTAACCTGGCTCCTGGCTAGATCTGGGGGACAGGAGGGTGAAGTCTAGGCAGAAGGTCTTCAGTGGTCCTCATCAAGGGCACTGGTATTTTGAAATAGAGGAGCATTCCTTGGGTGTCACCCCAATCGCTTCTGTCCAGTTGGCGAGAATGTTGTGACTACCATTAGTTATGGTGACACAAAAATCATTGGCCTAATAAATATCAACAGTAATCATGATAATTTTTGCATTTGCCTTCTCTCATAAGCTAATCAATAATTAGATGCTGAGAGAGTTACAATTTTATATTAGCTAAATGATGATTAAGAAAATAACTTATATCTGAGAATATGCCTCAGGAGTGCTTTGGTAATTATAATTAGGACATAAACATGCCCTATCTGCTTTAGGAGACAGTCTCATTTCTATATGATCTGTTCAGATGAATAAATTCATTTTCTTCTTAATCATTTGGGCTTGATGAGATAAAAATCACCAAAGTAAAAGGATTAAACATAGCATATATTATAAATGGTGTGTGTGTGTGTGTGTGTGTGTGTGTGTGTGTGTGTGTGTTTAAGCAGAGGTCTGGAATCCAGGGAGATGTCATACAAAAGAGAAAAAATGAACAAAATATTTACTTTTACAATAATTATTTTTTTAAAGAGAGATTTTTGCTATAGGACACGTGTGCTTGCCGGAGACACAGAGAGAGACTCTGTCGAATGCATGTACATACATGCCTGAAATCCCAACAGGGTGGAGAAATGGAGAAGAAGGGCTTGTGGTGAGACTACACTCGATTGAGGGTCTATCTCCCTCTCTTTGACTCTCTCTGGAGATTGCATATGCACTCTGGAGACTTAAAAAAATATTGCAGGGGCCAGCAGGTGGCGTAGTGGTTTAGGTGCTGGACTCCCACATGGTCTATTGTGGTTTGAGTCCAGGATCCTGCAACTTGAAACTCAAGCTAGGCGTGTGTGTGCACACACACACACACACACAAATTCCCAGGAGAAGAAAGAAGGATGAGAGATTGCAGTGTGGCCATACCCCCGGGTGTGATTTCTCACTTCTCACTTGCCCTCTCAATCTCTCTCTCTTCCCCATCCCCAGCAGTGCTCACACCCTATGGCAAAAAACTGAGAAAAGAAAAAAAGAAAGAAACGTGAGAGAAATGTTAGAGATACAGAGTACCATTCCAGACATGGTTGTTCCAACTGATTCTCTCCACAGTGGCCTCTCCTTTCTCAGACAAAGGGCAGCTCTCACTGTGATCTTGGGGACCTTGGAGCACTTTCCATGAATGATTGAGGGAGGGAGAAAGACACCAGATTGTGAGGTCAGAACAGAACAAATGTTTTAATTCTCTGAATTGAATAGGTAAGATTATAATTTTTTAAAAAATTAACTAGGAGAGGCCAACAGGTGACATGGTGGTTAAAGCATTGGACTCCTACATGACCTACCACAGTTCAAGTACTGGACCCAGCAGCTTGGAAATCACACTGGGCACGTGTGTGTGCATGTGTGCCCAAACTCTGAGAGGAGAATCAAGGAGAAGAGACTGTGGCATGGCATCCCGTTTGGGATGGGATTTGTCACTTTTGATCTCACTGTCTCTCTGTTTCTCTCAGGCGAGCACACATGTTCTAAAACAAAAATCTTGGGAACCAGCAGTTAGCGTAATGGCTATGTCGCTGGACTCCCACGTAGTCGACCACGATTCGCATCCCGGACCCGGTGGCTTAAAACTCATGCCGGGCGCGTGTGCGTGCGTGCCCAAGATCCCGAGAGGAGAATGGAGGAGAAATAGCCTTTTAAGGAAGGGCAACACATAAAATAACAGCCCTGGATTATGTTTGAGATTTCTGAAGTCCTTCATAGTTATAGATGAAGTTTCAAAGTTTTCCATTTTGCTAGAATGAACAAAGCATAAACATCTTAAATGGTTTAAACTGAAAAATAATTATTTTTTAAACTGTGATATATCCTTCCAGCTACTTATATCTCTGATACTACATTTTCTTTTCCTTGGTTTAACCTAAAAGTGTATTTTCAACATATTCTAACTTCTAGAGGATGTGGAACATGAAAATAGTTTAAGTTGCTGCAAATTCAGCTAAAAAAGTACTTTAGCATAAAGTGAATGGGCAAGGAAGTTCAATATCAGATTTTAGAGCTGGCTTACTTGGTTTTGAAAAACCCTTATTCAAGCAAGTTGTACCATCTGTAGAATCTTTATAACTTCTGTCTACTGTAAAATACATGAAATTCAATTGAACCTCCCCTCTCCCTGCAAAGGAAAGGGTATTAGGAAAATCCAAAAGACTGCATTTGCACTTTTATACATAAAAAGTATTAGTCAAGATCAGTCAGGCTTGTGGTTACTGTTGACTGGATCCCACATGGCCAACTGCGTGGTCAAGTCCTGCCTCTCTCTCTCTCTCTCTCTCTCTCTCTCTCTCTCGTCTATGCACATGCTCTAGAGCCAAACAAACAAACAAAATGATAAACCAGAATTCTAAAATATGAATTTCTGAGTGGAGCTTTTGCAGGGTGTAAAAAACAGCTCTATTAATTAGCCTTAAACCCTTAGGACCAAGTCGGTTTCAGTTTTATGTTTTCTTATTAGCTCTCCATCTATTTGGCATTTTTAAATAACTTATGCAAGTATATTTCATGATTGTGTCTGCAGTTTAAGAGGCATAAAACACATTACAAGAATGCTGAAGCAGGTGTCCCCCAGAGTGTTGCCTTTCCTAAGTGTTAACTTCTGATAAGTGAGCTAGTATAGAAAAATGATCAAAATACAATTTAGATAGGCCCCAGTGGGCCTTCTCTAGTCAATAGTCCAGAGCTCAGTTCTTCATCAAATCAGGAAATATAGTGATAACCCATGATTTTCCTGTGTTTGGTGTCTAAATCTTTTAAGTATTTTAAATGGCCTCTAACAAAGAGTAAAGGAAAAACATTGAAAGCTTCTTCTGTTAACATCAAAAATTCAGCTAAGGGACCAGCAGTTAGCATAATGGCTATGTCGCTGGACTCCCACGTAGTCGACCGTGGTTCGAGGAAAAACACTGAAAGCTTCTTCTATTAACATCAAAAATTCAGCAGTTAGCATAATGGCTATGTCACTGGACTCCCACATAGTCGACCGTGGTTCGAGTCCCGAACCCGGTGGCTTAAACTCATGCCAGGCGCATGTGTGTGCGTGCCCAAGATCCCAAGAGGAGAATGGAGGAGAAGGGATTGTGGCGTGGCCATCCCCCCTGGGGGGGGTGTGATTTCTCGCTTTCTGCCTCTCTGTCTCTCTCTGTCTGTCTGGCAAGTGCACGCACCCTATAGCAAAAACCTCTCCAAAAAAAAAAAAAATTTCAACTAACACCCACAATGATTAAAGAAGACATGAGACAGTAGAAAGAATCACTATTGTAAGTGGGAAGAAAATGAGTATAAACGTGTCAGAAAAACAAAAAATGTGAGCATATCGCTCCCTACGTACACAGTGGTAGGGTCAAAGTGAATCAGGATACATTTATGGATGCAGACAGTATATGGTGCTTTGAGTGCTCCAAAACATGTCTGTGGCAAACACTCAGAATTAAGGAGAGAAAAAAAACAGCCGAGAGAGGGATTTGGAAACAAAGCTATGGGCAAACGCCCCATGCCAGTCTCTTCTCAGTGCATCCCCTCTTCACTGCATAATGACACAAAATGAAAGAAAGTGACCGAATTCTACTTTCTGTACACTTACACACAGAAAATTGAAATGTATGCCTTTAGAAATGGATCCAATTATAACACTTTCCCAAAATCACAGCCCAAATCCAACTCCCCTTTGTGCAAATTTGTAAATTTCTATCCCCAGTCCTCAGGGTACTTAGGACAGAGTAGAAAGTGTTACAGCATCTTGGGAGTTAGGACTAGTGGCTTGGCACTTTGCTTTAAATTGAGAATATCCCCTTATCATCTGATGAACATAATTAATCAATTTTAAGACATTAATGCATTGTTATTATGTAATGAGCAAATGCCTCAGAGCCCACCTTCCCAAAAGCCAAATACGCCCGGGTACTCAAGATCGGAAAAAAAAAAAAAAAAAGGAGCCCATAACGGCCCACCTTCCCAAAAGCCAAATACGCCCGGTACTCAAGATCGGAAAGAGCCACAGAGATTTGCCTGAGGGTGTTTCTCATTGGGATTTCACAGCACATTCTTCTTTCTGGATTGCAGGGCGAATCCTCGGAACTTTAATTTTGACAATGTGGGCAATGCTATGCTGGCATTGTTTGAAGTTCTCTCCTTGAAAGGCTGGGTGGAAGTGAGGGATGTTATTATCCATCGTGTGGGGCCGGTAAGCAGGCACATCGAATCCTTTGAACGCTTCAGAGCAGCTTTTCATTTGCTTTGATGAATAACCATATTTTTCATTTATGCAGATCCATGGAATCTATATTCATGTTTTTGTGTTCCTGGGTTGCATGATTGGACTGACCCTTTTTGTTGGAGTAGTTATTGCTAATTTCAATGAAAACAAGGTAAGAATTCTTGGTTTGATTACCACTGGGTTATTCTTTTCTAGCCATGCACTTTGAGCTGTTTTTTTTGCACACGGCATGAAGTCACATTAAACTGTAATGTGACTGTTATAAATAATCTCTATAACTATTTTACAAGCTACTTCATTGCCGCTTTTCAGGCACATTATTTAAGAGTACAATTCTCTTGCTAAATTTACCCTTTTGGTAACAGTGCCATTAATTCACAGACAACTGAGAGGCACATCTCCTATTGTTGAAATTGAAAGGATGTACAAGTTATTAAAATACAATAGCTGAAAGTGATTCACTGACTCGCTGATTGCAGGTGATATTACTATCACACAATGTAAATCGGGCGCTTCTATGCAGCTCGGTAGGTGCACTCAGAATTTCGATGGGGTAGGGGGTGTGCAGCGGAGACGTTCATCGAATACAAAGATTTTCTAATTTCATATGAACTTTACATACTTTATGAACTCAGAAAGCACGCTGCTTTCCTACTGCTCTGAGGTCAGTACAAGTGCTCACACATGGGAACGAGGCAACGCAGTTTCCTATGAAAAAGTGAATCCGAGGAGAACATCCCCTCAGCGCACTCTGCAGAGGTGCTTGTCCTTCTGGCCAGGATGCCCTTGTGTCCGGCTATCTTTCAGAATCACAATCATTGAAATGCATAGTTTTTGAGCTGCTTTCTATGTCTTCACATTTTACATATGCTGCTATCTATTCTCACAACTCTGAACTGCATGGTCGAAGAAAAAGCAATAACTTGTCTGGGGCTCTAGGAGTGAGAAATGGGGCCAGAATTCGGAACTGGGCTCTATTGCTGCAGGGTCTATGTTCCTTGGAATGCAAGAGTATAAGAACCACCACTGTCGTTTTGCATTGAATTAAAACTGGATTTGCCTGCAAAGCCCATGCTGTTCGACATTATTCATGGCTAGGACTGATTCTCATGCATTTACATCAGAGTTCTTTGGCTCGTGGAGCTGCCCACGGGACTGTCTCACTCACTGACTCACTGGGCCCATCGTGTGTGATACAGTCACTCAGTCGATCGCCACCTTTGATGTGTGCCTGATGAGTACGTCATTTTACTCAGTATTTCAAAGGGTACAATTTAAAAATCCACTCTTTGGGTCCGAGCAGTGCTGGGACACACAGACACACAGGATGTCAGAGATGGAAAGAACGGTACTGACCGTGTGGTCCAATCCTCCTGTTGCACTTCCTCACACAGCCATGCACGAGCTGCTTTAAGTCCTGCAGTGTGTTCAGTTTACCACCAAGCAGAACGAGGAAGATGTGTCTTCTTAGATGCCTTTGAGCCGTGTAGTGGAGCAGCCCCAGGAATTCCAGTGTGTGAGCAGAAGCTAGCCAGTCAATTAACAGGAGAGTTTAGGCATTGCCGGCTCCGAATGCTATCTGAGGCCTTCTAAGCAGGCCCCTGACTTCAGGGGGATTAGGGCCTGTGGGAGCTCACGATCCAGCAGTGTAATAGGACAACATGAAATGTTCCGTAACTGGAAACCAAAGTGTAATTAATTGCAAGTCTTGAACGTATAGGAATGACTGAGTAAGCACAATAACCAGGAAGGGCCACGTTCAACGACAGAGAGGGAGAAAGTGCCTTGGCCTTTTGGTGGGGCATGTCATGCCAGCTCAAATGGGTGCTTAGAGAAAGAGGAAATTAGATGAATCATATTATCGGATATTACAAACTTAATTAGTTAATTGGAGATTTAAGTGTTTAAATTATGTGAACCATTTTAAAAAGATTTCTTAGATGATAGCACCAAAGCTGTTGTCTAATATACTTGTTTATGATTCAATCATTCAACAGATTTATGTGAGCACCTAGTAGGGGCCAGACCCTGCTCTTGACACTGAGGACCTAATAAACTAGACACAAAACACATAAAACCTGCTCTTGCGGAGCACATGTCTTAGTGTTCATACCTAAGACAAATATATAGATCCCCAAAATAGAGGCAATAGGTAGTGTGAGAGTCTTTTCATAGGAAGCAGTCGTTTTTTTAAGAAATAGTTGCTATAGGTTGTGTGTGCTCACTGGAGAGACAGAGGGACAGAAAGCAAGAAATCACCCCTAGGGTGGATGGCCATGCCACAATCCCCTCTCTTCCATTCTCCTCCTCGCATCTTGGGCATGCATGCACACGTGCCCGGCATGAGTTTCAAGTCACCAGGTCCAGGACTCAAACCTCAGTCAACTATGTGGGAGTCCAGCAACGCAACCACCATGCCATCCACTGGTCTAAGGGGGAAGCAATCTTGAAACCATGCATGACAAAACTTGAAAGTCATAGTTCATCATAATGATGAGGTAATAGACAAACTAAGGTTTTTTGAAGCCCACTTTTGTAAGCCAGACAGCCAGCGCCTTGCTCGGACTGCTCGATAAGAATTCCTAACAAGAGCCCCAAGTCAGCAGCTCTTTCGGACCCATCCCATCAAGAAGCTTTCCTCTTTTCATAAAACTCTGCTTAGTACCCCTCCTTTTGTCCACATTTCTCATTGTTCGTGATCGCAAGACATAACCTCAGCCAACTCAGAAATCCTGCAATAGAAGTCTCTTTTACAAGTTCCAAATCTACATGAGTAATTCAGGGGGATTTTCAAAAAGTTAATGAAAATGCATATTCCAAAAGAACTGCATGGATTTCAAACTTTCTTTGCGCCAAAATAAATTCATACTTTAATTATATTTTCACAGAGTTTTTAAAGTGTCTCATATGTTTTTATTTCTGATTTTCCTTCTATGAACAGTGTGTTTAATTAAGAAAATTAACATTAGTAAACTTTCAGAAGTTTTCATACATTAATGATCAGGTGCTCAGAATGAGCAGGGCAGAAATGATCTAGAAAACAAGGAAACCTAGACATTTATATAAAAGCTGGTTCTTAAAAAAAAGAAAAAACTAGGAGGCCAGCAACTGTCATAGTGCTTAAGACGCTGGACTCCCTCATGGCTGACTGCCGCTTGAGAATCATGCCAGGCATATGAGCGTGTGTACCCTAAATCCTAACGGATACTACAGGAGAAGAGACTGGGGTGTGTCCATCCCAAAACCGGGGGAGAGGGTGATTTCCCACTTACCCTTTCTCTGTCTCTGTCCAGCAAGTGCATGTCTCCTATGGCAAAAATCTTTTTTAAAAAATTAGGTCACTCAACTTCCAGTAAGGTTGAGCAAGAACAAAAATGTAAAAAATGAAAGTAAACAAACTATAGTAAGAAAAACAGTGTTGGTATTGTTATGGAGAGAGAAAATTAGGCTTAGAACAAAGCACAAAGCCCCAGCAGGAGCCCTGGTGTATCGAAAGGAAAACAAATCAGTGGGAAGAATGAGAACAACAACAACGCTGGGAGCTTGGACTGTCTCAATCCAAGCTAAACTGAAACTGAGATACCCAAGAATGAATTCCAAATGAATTAAAGGCCTAGCTATGAAAAGCAGCGTTTTTTAGAGAGAGATTTTTGCTATACGGCACATGTGCTCACCAGAGAGACAGAGAGAGACAATAAATGAGAAATCACACCCCCCCCCGGGGGGAGATGGCCACACCACAGTCCCTTCTCCTCCATCCTCCTGTTGGGATCTTGGGCACACACGCACATGTGTGCAGAATATGTTTCAAGCCACCAGGTGCAGTGCTTGAACCACAGTTGGTCATGTGGGAGTCCAGCGATGTAACCATTACACCATTTGCTTGTCCCAAAAAGCAAATTTTAAACCATTTTTGAGCCATATTAGCATTTGCTTTTGATCCTAGAGTAGTTGGGAGTTTCTTGGCATTAGTCACAAAGTAAAATCAAAAAAAAAAGAAGAAAATTGCATGTTAGATGACTTTTGAATAACCAAAAGTACTATAAACAGAATAAAGATACAAAGCAAAGGCTAAGAGAAACTATTTACAACTCACATAACTGACAAAAGATTAGTATCCAGAAAATATGAAGAAGTTCTCTAAAATGTTAAAAAGTAAATATCAAGCTACAGAAATGTGCAAAGAATGTAAATAGGCAATTTACATAGGAAGATTTAGGAATCAAACAAATGCTACCCAAAGATTCAAGAATCAAACAAATGCTACCCTCAGCTGGCATGGTAGTTAAGACACTAGACTGCCACATAGCTCACCACAGTTCAAGTCCCAGACCTGGCAGCTTGCTTTCTCTCTTTCTCTCTCTGTCTCTCTCTAGTGAGTGTGCATGCCCTGTAACAAATTAAAAAATAATAATAATAATGATAAGTAAGTTAAATAAATAATTCTTTTAAAATACTTCCTCTCCTTAAAAATAAAACTAACTCAGACACATTTTATATACTCATCAAAATGGCCAAGTGAAAATATCTTATAGGATCAAGTATTAACAAGAACATAAAGAAATGGGAACATTTGTACACTGCTGATGGGAAATTTTTTGTTGTTGTTGTTATTTCTCTTTGGAAGCAACTTAGCAATCTCTAGTAACCGTGAAGATGTTTAAATTTGTATAAACCAGCAATTCTAGAAATTTATGATGAAGAAACTCACAAAGGTGTTTAGTGTGAGACAGTACCTGTGTATTTATCACAGCGATGTTTGCAGTCCATATACCTAAAATGAGTAACTTCCAATACAGTTGTAGTGGGCCACTCTGTGAGCGGTGAAAACGAGCAAATTAGACCTACAGTAGTAATCTAGTTATATGGAAAACATATTGTTCAATGACAAGAAAGACAAACTACACAAATAAGCATGAGGGATACTATTTATATATTTTTTTAAAGTCAAAATGCATACTTATGTATATATACATACATAAGCACAAAAGTCTGAAAATATAGTAATAAGAGCACTGTCCTGAAAGATAGTCATTAGATCCATAGAAGGAAAGGGAGAATGGCAATGGTTTTGTGTGTGTGTGGTTTTTTTATTTTTTTTAACTGTCAGAGGGTGTGTCCATCTGAGAGAAACAAAGAAAGAAGAGAGAGAGAGAGAGAGAGAGAGAGAGAAAGCATCCTCCAATATGACATGGTCACACCATAATCCCTTCTCGTACATTTCTGTCATCCTTTTCAGATTTTGGGCATGCACACATATGTACCTGGTGTGTTTTTCAAGCCACTGGGGCCAAACTTTGAACTGCAGTTGGCCATGTGGAATCTGGTTCCCTTAACCACTAGGCCACAGAGCTGGCTCAGGAGTGTTTGTTTGTTTATTTTGGAGAGGTTTTTGCTATAGGGTGTGTGTGCTCACCAGAAAGACAGAGGGATACAGAGAGACAAAAAGCTAAAAATCCCCCCCCAGGGGGATGGTCACACTGCAATCCCTTCTCCATTCTCCTCTTGAGATCTTGGGCACACACACGCACACACGTGAGTTTAAGCCACCTGGTCTAGGACTCAAACCGTGGTCAACTACATGAGAGTCCAGCGACATAGCCATTATACCAAACTGCTGGTCCCAGGAGTGTTTGTTTTTGTTTTCCAATTTCTTAAATTATACTTCTGATAATATACTGTGATAATTGATATAATTTGTATGCATTTTAATCAAGTATTCTATTTATTTTTACAGAATATCTGATCCCATGTAGTCAGTTATCATGGCACTAATTTCTTAAAGAGACAAATTTTATGAGTTTGTACCTCTTAAAAATAGTTCTGTGATTACACATAATAGAATTTTCTTTTTATAAGAAAGACAAAATACCCTTGACTAGCAGCAGCAGCACTGGTAAGCTGTAATTTTGCTGCTATGAAATGAAACTCACTACTATTAGTTAATACCTATTGTTTAAAATGTAACCATGTAGAAAACCCTCTTTAAATTTTCCCAAATCTAAATATCACACATCCTCAAAAGTACAATGAAGGCTACTGGCTGGATATTCTCTGAAATTTACGGCCGTGATTTTGGGAACTCTCCTCAAGACTGACCTGGAATTCCAACCATGTTTCTCTTAACCAGCTCAGTACTTGAAGAAGGTCTTTATTGCAAGGACCAAGTCCTGTTTGTCTCACCACCCATCTGCAACACTCTTGGTGCGGATGTGACAAAAGGCCTTTTCCTGCTTTCCTTTGTTTGTGAAGGGAACGGCTTTGCTGACGGTAGATCAGAGAAGATGGGAAGACCTGAAGAGCAGACTGAAGATCGCACAGCCTCTCCATCTCCCACCTCGCCCGGGTATCAAAGATGCTCTGATTTTATTCATGTTGGGCACTAGTGTTCATGATCCCCCAGGAGCCTCAGATTTAAATTAAAATAATAATCGGGAGGCCACTAGGAGGTTGTGCATAAGTTAATATAGAAACAGGCTCCAACTACAGATCTCTCCATAAGGCTATTAAAATCAACCACCCAAAGGTTGTGCTTCAGTGCTCTCAGAATAAGCCTTAATGAAAAAATGAATTTTTAAATAAAATATATTTGTGCTTGCCTTTTAAAACTATGAGTGAAATGTATTAAGCTGACAGAAATTGAATGATGCGCTTCGCCCTCCAATACGAACGGCGTCATGCACTGTCGTTTTAAATATTCAGAGCCAGCCGTTCCTGCAAAACACTTCACAATAGATTGAACTGGAGGGGAAAAAACTGTAATGGGTTTTAAGATGAGCATTAAAGAAAATGAAAGACAAGAAAGTAAATGTGACCCATGTCTAAAATGCCCTTGCCTAAACCTTTCTTTTCCAGATAATGATGGTTTCAGAGCTAAAATGTACGACATAACCCAGCATCCTTTTTTCAAGAGGACAATCGCATTACTTGTTCTGGCCCAGTCAGTGTTACTGTCTGTGAAGGTACTCGTTTCACTCTAAGACTCTGGGAACGAGTTTTGTAGTTGTTGGCATATCCAAGAATATTCCAAGCTGCCGTATCACGCACAGTCTACATTCTTTAATATAAAAATTAAAAGTCACGGTCACATTAAAATGGGCCAAGAGGGAGGTCTGTATGTGTCTGATGGGTGTGGGCAATGGCTTGTGCACAAAGACCTGTGTGTTCTGTTTTAGTGGGACGTGGAGGACCCAGTGACGGTACCTTTGGCGACAATGTCGGTTGTCTTCACCTTCATCTTCGTTCTAGAGGTACAGTGATGAGTTGGCTGGCTCTGGAGGGAGCAGTTCACAAATTTAAGTAAATCAGTGTCCCACATGGATGGCATGTTCTTTCGGCTCTGTGTTCCATTGCCTTCGGAGCCTTTTTCTTTTTGGGGGGATAGGGACTTACAGGTTGTGTACTCTTAAGATGTTTCCTTTTTAGGCTGTTCTCCTTGAACACTGAGTTTCCTTAACCTTTTGGAGTCTTTTAACTGCAGAAATGTTGCTGTTGATTGTTGGGTTTAAATATTGGTCTGTCTAGTTATGAGAGTTCAAATATTTATAGTGCACTGTACACGCCCCTGTAATTTCTAGAGTCCAATTGCAATGTGGTGACAGAGTGAGCTGGCTTAATTCATGGTCCATCTCATACTGCTTTTCAGTGCAATCTTTGAAATACAAGCAGATTTTCACTTTGCCCTGTACTCGTTGATGTCTTCCAAAATGTATGGTCTTTTGCTCAAGGAAGAAAAATGTCCTGCTATCAGGACTGGTCATATGACATGGAGAAAAATAGTGTGCAGAATATTGATTTGTAACTTACATAGCTTTAAAAGTAAAATCACATATCTTGGTAATAAATTCTTTTTTTGTTGTTGTTGTTACTAATTTCTAAGAAAATGTAATATACCTCAAATTAACATGTTGGACTACCTGATGTACACTCACCCTCTATGTATTGTCTGCACTATGTTTTCCCAGGTTACCATGAAGATCATAGCAATGTCGCCTGCTGGCTTCTGGCAAAGCAGAAGAAATCGATATGATCTCCTGGTGACGTCCCTCGGTGTGGTATGGGTGGTGCTTCATTTTGCTCTCCTGGTAAGCCCATAATGAAACTTAATTTCAGCTGGTGCTTTCAGTTTTGTTCAGCTCAGCAGTTCAGCCTGGTTCTCAATTTCATTTCACTCCATGTCAACTTACTCTGAGGTGTTGGGTTAACCACCCTGAAGCCCAGCTTTGATGGTGATGGTTCCCTCAGATGTGCTTGCATGGCTGTGTACACACCCCACCCCCTGATCACAGACAAAACCTGGTCCCTCAAAGCCCTGGAGTGCGCAAGCCTCAATGAGAAGATCCTTAAAGATCTTCAAGCTTAACCCCTCATTTTATGAAAGGATAAAACAAGAGAGAGAGAAAAACAGACAGAGAGATTAAAAGATCTGTCTATAGCCACATAACAATCTGGTATCAGAAAACTGCAGCTCTATCTGAACTGAGGTATAGCATTTGTTCCTCTTCGTTACACTCAGTATTTCACTACATAATTCTCAAGTACTTCCACTGCTTTATTTTCCCCTAGACATTAGCTGCTGTTTCTCTAAAGCACATCATTCCCCAACTGCATACCTGTATTCCCACTATTTTGCCTCCCTTCATGCTGAGGTCCACCTCGAAATCTACAGCTGTGGGTATACTTGACTGTAATTAGAACTGTGTTAAATATTAGAAGTGAAATAACACCACAGGTGTAACTGAAAATTTCCTAGGTGCCATGTTAAAAAAAAAAGAGGGTCCAACAGGTGGCCTGGTGGTTAAGTTGGTGGACTCCACATGGCTAACCACAGTTTGAGTCCCAGACCCAGTGGTTTGAAGCACATGCTGGGCACATGTGTGTGTGTGCTCAAAATCCTGAGAGAAGAATAGAGGAGAAGGGATGATGGTATGGCCATCCCCCCAGGGGGTGATTCCTCACTTTCTGTCTCTCTCTGTCTCTCCAGTGAGTTCACACACCCTATAGCAAAAATCTCTCTTAAAAAATAAATAAATAAAAGTAAATAAATAAGAAAATATGACAGCAATTTAATAATATATTTTCTTACTTACCATATGCAAAATATTATTATTTTAAAATGTATACATTATATGAATGATGGAGGTAGATGTCATCCTTTTCTTGGTATGAAGTCTTCTATTGAGTGAGAATTTTACATCAGCTCTTTATTTTGAACAGTCACACTTCAGATATATTAGACAGCACAGCTCTGGAAGATCTAGACTGAAGTCTACACCCAATATTCCAGCCTTGACCAAGACTTACTTGTCTTCAGTGATCCCATGTTCCCCACTCTGAACTGGAAGATATAACTCCATAATCCACCTGTACTGAATGGGCACTATGAAGGTCAACCGAAATCACATATGTGATGTGTTTCCAACTATAACAATTACACGAACCCATAAGCATTATTATGAATACTTTCCTTTTTTATCTGTTAGTCTTCCTCAACCTCCTCTCAACTATTGGATCGTCAGGAAACTCATTTTTGCATAGAAAAACAGAAAAATATGTCCTGACTTTCTTGACAACCTAATATTATTAATATTATCCATTTTCTCCTGTTCCCTTCCAACCATTCTTCTACCTCCTGTAGTATTAGAAGCATGTCATGAAATATTCATAACCTGTGGAACCCACCTACACATCAGAAAGGGATCATTTAATATGAAGTGGCTGTGCTTATGAACACACTGAGAACCTTTCTAAAGCCGGTGGTGCTTTCAGCATCAGGGGCTATCTGAGGCCAACTTGAGCCTTTGGTCACCCTGATCATTTTCACAAGGAATAAATGGTTTTGAGCACAAGAGATGTACAAGGCCCTGTGCTAGGAATGAGGTGAATGTAACGAACAAAATAAAGACAGTAACTACTCTCTCAAACTTTGTAGTCTGGAAAGCTAGATAGATATTTATCAAATGGTCACAGATCAATGAGAATTATACCTATGGTGAGGGAGATGTAGGTGAACTCATATTATTGGACTTCATACGATACGGGGAAGTGACTTCATCCGAAAGGCCATGGAAGTCAGCCCTGGAGAAGTGATGATTGGGTCCCACCTGTAGAATGAAAAGAGTATTTCAAGCAGCTGTCTCTACTATGAAAGTATGCAGGAGCTAGAAGAGGAATACATCATGTAACTGGAGAAGAAGGAGCAGGGGTTACATGGTATAAGAATTGGATGGATAAGAAGTGTCAGACCTCTCAAGACCTTATAGCCCAAGTGAATAATTCAGGTTGTCATCCTAGAAGTTGTTGATTGTCTTTACTTCCAGAACATAAAGACTGACAATAGGTCTTGAACTAATACATAAAAAAGACACAGAAAGACCATGTTTTTTCTTTCTCTGGTAATTACAGTCAATTGCTACTCAGTCCAAGCAAAAGAGTAGAGTTGGCTTCCTAATCTCAAATGTCCCAGATAGGAAATCTTAACCAAAAAGAGCATCTTTCCTGTTCCACCTGACTGCTTTTGAACTTCTGGTCTTGAAAGGAGGCTCATCCTCCACCATATTTTGTAGCGGACTCTCAGGAAAGAAGGTACAGTTCTTGTGCCCCATCCAAAAATGCTACATGCACACATTCGTTTACTTGTACCTCACTGGGGATCTCACTGGACCCCTTCCTGGGGGCCCATCTGTGACTGTTGTCATTTGGCTAGGCCAGCCTCCTGGAGAATAATCATGCATTGGCATCAGCTGAATGTCAAGGCTGTTATTGCAGTCGTAGTCGTGGGAACTTTGTTTCTCAGATGCAGCTTTCTTAGTCACAAAGCGCAGAGTCATTGCTTGCTGCCAATCACACATTGGAAGAAAGAACTGGATATATTCCTGAAAGGAAGGACTTCTTGAAATCAGTTCAGCCCAATGCACATGTGGTGATCTTCAGAGGTCTCCAGAGACCTTCAGAGAGAAGTCTGACTTCTGGAAACCTTATCCAACGTCATCACTTCCTCCTTGGCAAAATTCCTTCATCTATCTCACGTTGCTTCCTCCTGTCACATTGTTCCCCTCTGTTTTTTATGTTCTGTTCTCAAAAGAGCTGGTCACATGTTTTATGTAAAACAAATTTCAAAATATGAAATTCAGGCCCAGCTGCAATGGCACAGGTGGTAGGGTGCTATTGCATGATGCCAGAGTCACTTGGAAGGTCCAGGGTTAGATCCTGGATCAACCTGAACAGGCTAGGCACACCCATGTATGCCTAATCCTGGCCAGCTAAAGCTGGAAGAAGAATCTTGGCACGGTGAGACCCTGTCAAGGGCACCTGTCTTTTTCTCTCTTTATCAATCAATAAATAAACTTTTAAAAAAAATGCAGAAGTCAGCTGAGCAAAACAGAACCCAAAGTTCCATTTGAGATTTGATTTTATGTCTAATATCTATTCATAAGCTGTGGCAGTGACCTTTTCAGCACCTTTTTAAGATAAATATAAGAATTTTCACATTTTATTAAACTAATTATTCAGTAGACTTCACAGAAGACTTAAAATGAAAAATAGAACTGTAACATGATCTTTTGTGCAAATCATGAGTGGCTGTCTTCTATTTAAATTTCAGAATGCATATACCTACATGATGGGCGCCTGTGTGATTGTCTTTAGGTTTTTCTCTATCTGTGGAAAGCATGTAAGTACGTTGTGAATTCTGTCGAAGGTCACCTGTGTGCACCAAAGTGCACCTGTGTGCACAAAGTGCACAGCAGTGATCAATTGACTTCAGCCTTGTAGGTGTTCAGGGTGTAGTCAATAAATTATTAGACAGCATAATCACAATTAATAAATACTGACTGTTAAAAATGAATCAATAACTTAGATATCTTTTGATATGTTTCCTGTCATTTGTTGTTTAATTTATTCCTCATATTTTTTGAGTCAACTTAATCATCAATTAAAGATGACATACCATTTGTAAAAGTAAAATCTTAATGTTTTGGGGGCCAGCAGGTGGCATGATGGTTAAGGCGCTGGACTCTCATATGATTAACCACAGTTCAAGTCCCAGACCTTGGGGTTTGAAGATAAAGCTGGGTGCATGTGCATGCATGCCCAAAATCCTGACAGGAGAATGGAGAAGAAGGGATTGTGGTGTGGCCATCCCCCCCTTGAAGGGTGATTTCTCACTTTCCCTCTCTCTCTTTTTCCCTGGTCAAACCCAAAAAGCAAACAAACAAACAAAACAAAAACTTAAGGTGTTTTTATTTGTATTGTTTTTATTTTAATAAAGATAAATAACTTTGCTGAAAATGAAAATCATACTTAATTGGACATTTACAGTTACATAATTCTGGATGTCTTTACATTCTTTGTTAATGTTCATACAAACATTCTGCATATATACTTCAATTTTGAAATACCGTTTCCTTTTTGTTACAAACATTATTTCATTTATACATTACATATGTCTACATAACTTAATATTTGATGGTTATTTAGTATTATACTAGTATTATACTATTGCTTAGGATTTTGTGGAAGAAGTGTGATTCTACTTGCTGTAGGTCAAAAGTATGCAGCTCTTTTTAGAGAATTGGGGAGCAAGAGAACAGGGAAAGCTAAAAAGCTCAGGGTTTTACTTTTTCTGATTTGAATAGACTGCACAGTTTGAAATAAGAATAGAATTTCTCAGCATCTGATGGCTCGTGAATAATAATCAGATATAATACCTAATAGGAAGCAATGTTCAAATGATATGCTTAAGTATCACTCCTGAGACAACCTGCTTAAATATTTCCTGCCCAGGTCTTTCAGGACTTAATAAATGAAATATTCCCTGTTTTTCCTGCCTCTCCCACATGACCCTCCTCCCCATCTACAGGTGACTCTGAAAATGCTGCTCTTGACAGTGGTCGTCAGCATGTACAAGAGCTTCTTTATCATAGTAGGGATGTTCCTCTTGCTGCTGTGTTATGCCTTTGCTGGAGTTGTTTTATTTGGTACTGTGAAATATGGAGAGAATATTAACAGGTGTGTTTCTTGATCTTTCTATTTATTTGTGAAGTATACCTTTCCAATGATAAAGTCATGAATAAAAGCTTAATTTCTTTTTCCTATTAAAGACAGAGGAAGGAGATAAAGAGAAGAAATTAGTTGAAAATTAAAATAAAAATGGCCAAATTTTAAAGGACATTTTCCCAATTGAAAGAGGTATACACACTCAACTTAGAAACATTAGAAACATTAGAAAATTCAGGAATAAAACAAAAAAACCATAATTTCACCAACACTCAGGAATACCCACTTCTAATTTGAGCATTCTTTTCTATCCACATATTGCAAAGAATAGTGATATATAGTGTTTTTTATATAAAACAACTTCTATATGGCTTTGAAGGTTTTTTTTTTTCTGTTCAAAATATGGGAAGTTAGAACCCCCCAAATGGTTGTTACATATGCATAGTATTTTTTTTTTTTGTAGAGGTTTTTGCTACAGGGCATGTGCACTCGCCAGACAGAGACAGAGAGACAGAAAGCAAGAAATCAACCCCCAGGAGGGATGGCCACGCCACAATCCCTTCTCCTCCTTTCTCTTCTCAGGATCCTGGGCACGCACGCACATGCGCCCGGCGTGAGTTACAAGCCACCAGGTCCAGGATGCGAACCGCGGTCAACTACGTGGGAGTCCAGCGCCATAGCCATTACACTAACTGGTGGTCCCCAATATGTATTTTTCAAAGATTATCTTAGATTTTATGAAAGCATCTCATAGTTAAAAAAAGTCATGATGAATTTTTACTTAGGAAAGCAGAAAAATACATCATGACTTTTCCAACAACCAAATACATACAGTACAAATGTTGAAGAAACTGCCTGTTACGTGACACAGGGTTGGGTTGCTCCACCTTTTACAGCATAGTCCAAGTAAGAGAAGTAAGAGCTTGTCTGACTAGCACTGGGCTCGCTCTGCGTGTGTGTGTGTGTGTGTGTGTGTGTGTGTGTATGTGTGTGTATG